GGATCCATGTGAGGAGTGTGCTGGCTTGGTTGTATCACTTGCGGAATTTTTAGTGTCTTGCAAAGATTATTCTTCGATCAGTGACTTCAATCAGGGATTCATTTTTTTTTTAAATTGATGTGTAGTACACAGAAAGTGTGCTCGCTGTGAGTTCAGGGTTCGATGACTGTTTATACTCACGCATGTGCGAGATCAAGGAGCAGAGCATCCCGGTCCCCAGCAGGCTCCTTCGAGCTCCCTCCTAATTACGACCCCTGCGCTCACCTGCACGGATGGAAGCTTTTTTTCCCCCCTCACTAAAGAATTATTTTTTTTTCCTTTAAAGAATTATTATTTAATTTGCTACAGGGCATGTGTGCTCACCAGAGAGAGATGGGTGGGGCGGGGGACTAGAAAGCAAGCTGCCAGGTCCAAGACTTGAACTGCAGTCAGCCATGTGGGAGTCCAACACCCTAACCACCATGCCACCTGCTGGCCTAGGCAGCTTTTGAAAGCAGACTTTCTTTGGTGGGGATGGGGGTGGGTAGAGGCAGTTTGTGTCACGCTTGCTGGTCTGGAGCAGAGATCAGCCCACTTCTGGTGTTGACAGTGTGTAGACCAGCGAAGGAGCGGGGGTAGCTGTGTGCTAGTAAAACGTCATTCACAAAAGCAGGCAGTGGCCGGATTTGGCCCCTGGCCGTGGTTTGCTGAACCCATGCAGAGCTGTGCTTATGTGTACGATTTCTGCTGGTGCCCCACCAGCATCTGAGGTCCTCGCATCTTGTGCACAACTGCAGACCTCAGGTGACTCTCGGGTCCCTTCAGGTTGAGAACGCGATGCACTTCCTGTGAGGGAGAAAAACAGGAGGTGTCCTGGGGCCAAGGATGCTGGCGTGGATTTACTCCTACAGACACAGGGGACTTGGACAAAAGGCCACCAGGATTCTCCCCACCTCGGTGGCATGTTGGGTGATTTCGTTTTCCCCTTTCAACATCAGCATCATTTTTCCTCCTCAGCAGGTGTCCGTGTGTGTGTGTGTCCGTGTGTGTGTGTGTGTGTGTGTGTGTGAGTACCGAGTGGGAAACACCACCCGTTACATTGAGCATGAAGGTTTGTCTGGTCAGGAGTCTTGGGGATCTCCGCAGAGATGAAAAACAGACCCCTCAGGAGAGAGAAAGAAAGTTGTGGTCAGAGGGGAAGTTTTACAGTTTGACTCTGCGGTGGTGGGACCGTTCCGAGGGATGCCCAGGGCTGAAGTGGTGACGGCCTCTCACAGTCATGAGCACGGCGTGTTGTGGGCGTCGAGCACACGCCACCCTCTGCATCTTTTCAGTATTTAGGCAGTGGCTACCTTCGGGCTTCTCATTTGACAGAAGAGGAGACTGAGGCACTGGCTTCTGTAGCTTAGGGAAGGCCACGGAGCTACTCAGAGGTTGGAGCCAGGACTGGGATGCCGGTAGCCTAGCACCCAGGCCGTGCAGCTCGGAACTGCTGTGCAGTTTACAAGGGGCAACCTCCTGGGTGCGTGCCTGGGAGGGTGGAGTTGAAACAAGGGGCGTTGGGAAGTGGAGGAGAACGCCCCACACTGTGGAGGTGCCAGGAGGAGGGAGGACCCCACGGCAGGGAAGTGTGGATGGGGCATAAGCCCTGGTCCTGGAAACTAGGAAATTGTCTGAGCCCACGTTAGTATAGCTGGGGGCTCAATCTGGAGGCTCAGGCTGGCAGCTCCAGTGCTGGACCCAGTGAGGGGCTGCTGCGAGCCCCTGCTCAGAGCCGGATTAAAGCAGTGGGTTCAGCACAGAACCGTCCTACTCCACCTGCTGGGGCTTTGCTGGAGCATGACTCCTTCCCTCATGAGTTAAGGAAATAGGCACTTAATTAGGACTCAGCTAAGTGGAACCCTCAAATAATTGGACTTTTTTCTGTAGTTTATTTCTAGAGAACCACGGCTAAAAAGAAAAAAGAAGTGGGCAGGTGGGGATTTATTTGAACACATGAACGATCAGGATTTACCCTGGACCAGTGCACACGTGGGTCACTGTCTGGCATCTTTGAAGATGTATGCTTTTTTACATCTATATTGTTCTGTGGAGGATGGATATGTCCCCCTGATCTGAACTGACTCAGTCACAAGGTTCAACATGACAGATGTGTTTGCCAAGAATCTTAAATGCCAGGTGCTGCTGATGATATAAAAATATCTTAAACATCTCTCTGACCTTGAAGAGCTTTAAACCATGGGGAAGGGATTGATTTATCATCAGGGACAGGGGGCAAAACTGTATGAGTACTACTGAAAAATTCTCAGTTTGAGGCAGAAGGGGTAGAAGAGACTCCAAAAATCTTATTTTCTATAACATTCCAGAAAGATTTAAAAGTTCTTCATTGACATGTCTAATTTTTATACTTAAATTTAAAAAAAATTCATTTGTTTTTAATTTGCTAGAGGGTGGATGTTGAAGACAGAGACAGCGAAAGAAAGTGAGATATTACTCCTCACGGAGGATGGCCACACTACAGTCCCTTCTCCTCCATTCTCCTCTTGGGATCTTAGGCATACACGCACATGCGCCCTGCGTGTTTTCCAAGCTGCCAGGTCTGGGACTTGAACCACACAGGTGGCCATGTGGGATCCAGCTGCCTAAACCACCAGCCACTAGCTAGCCTTAATTTTATATTTTGTTATTTTGTTATTTATTTTTTAGAGAGATTTTTGCTATAGGGCACATGTGCTTGCCAGAGTGACAGAAATCAGCCTCCAGGGGAGATGGCCACACTGCAGTCCCTTCTCCATTCTCCTCTTGGGCTCTTAGGCATGCATGCACATGCACCCAGCGCGAGTTTTAAGTCACTGGGTCCAGGACTTGAACCACAGTTGACTACATGTGAGTCCAGCAATGTAACTGCTATACCCTCTGCTAGTCCAAGTATTTTGTTATTTTTAACTGACACAATCATTGTATGAGTACAGGAGGTAACAATCAAATCAGGGTAAATAGATTTATCACCCTGAACATTTATCACTATTGTTTGTTGAAAACATTTGAAGTCCCCTCTTCTAGCTAACTTGACGTATACAGTAACTTGTTCACTGTAGTCACCCTCCTGTGCTACAGAACACTAGAACTCACTCCTCCTCATTATAATTATTCATGATAGAGCGTGTGCACGTGCGTGTAAGAAAGTCATGAAGACCCACCACAGTGTCTGGTCACACCTCAATCCCCTTCCTCCAATCCCCTACTCTTATTCGATCTTGGGTACTTTTGTGCATGCCAAATGTGACCAGGCTGGGGATTCGAACCGTGGTCACCATGTGGGATGTAGCTTTTGAGCAGCACATTACTGCTGTGCCCCGAGTCAGCTCTCCCCAGAACTCCCCCCGCCCTCTTGGCCTGCAGTATTCACTGTTCTGCTTTCTACTTCTGTGGGGTCGTGTGTCAACTACATGGGAGTTCCAGTGACATAGCCATTACGCCAACTGCTGGTCCCCTTCTCAAAAATATTTAAAACCAGGGAACCAGCAGTTAGCGTAATGGCTATGTCGCTGGACTCCCACGTAGTCGACCGCGGTTCGCGTCTCGGACCCGGTGGCTTAAATCTCACGCCGGGCATGTGTGCGTGCGTGCCCAAGATCCCGGGAGGAGAATGGAGGAGAAGGGATTGCGGCATGACCATCCCCCCGGGGGGTGATTTCTCGCTTTCTGTCTCTATGTCTCTGTCTGTCTGGCGAGCGCACGCGTCCTATAGTGAAAAAAAAACCTCTCAAAAAAAAAAAAATATTTAAAACCATACTGTTTCTGGGAACCAGCAGTTAGCGTAATGAAAACCATACTGTTTCTGTTATAGAGTCACAAACAAAATTATAATAAATTATTTTGAACATTATCTTTAAAATTCAGTATTTTGAAAATTTGAAAGTTGTTTATTAACTGTCAAGAACTATGAAGTATGAGCAAAATTTTTTGATATGTAAAGTAAATGTTTGTGGAAAAATGTAAAAAGAAATAAATGGAAAAAAATTAATAATAACAAATGGAATTAAATAATTTTTTTTAAAAAAGAGCTGGGATACCGCGGAAAGCCACAAGTGTTTTTTACCTGGCCCGTGTCGCCCATTGCCATTGTCTGTATGACGTCATAAGCGTTTGTTATCCACTCTGGACAATTTGGTGGCCCTTTTCAACAATTTATCCTTTGTTCTTTAAAACTCACAAGAAAAGTGGGACCAGCAATTGGCATAATGACTTTGTTGCTGGACTCCCATGTAGTCAACCGCAGTTTGAGTCCCAGACCCGGTGGCTTAAACTCATGTTGGGCATGTGTGCGTGCGTGCCCAAGATCCTGAGAGAATGGAGAAGGGATTGCGGCGTGGCCATCTCCCCCTGGGGGTGATTTCTCGCTTTCTGTCTCAGTCTCTCTCTTTCTGGCGAGCGCACGCGCCCTATAGCAAAAACCTCTCCAAAAACACCTCACAAGAAAAGCAATCCATGTGGACGCTGCTCTTGGCTTGCTCTACTCTCCAGCCAGGCGGTGTCTCAAGGCTCCATGTTTGAGACCTGTCCTCCCGGCTTACATGCCAGCACGCAAGTTCCACTCCTTAGTCAGCAGCGCTGGTGGGTCAGCCCTGCGGCGAGTGTGTCTCCAGGAACACGTGTTCCCTGCCCCGTGGGCTGCATGTGTGCTGGGTGCTCAGGGACTGGCCTTTACCTTTAGGGAACTGGGCATTGTCACTGCTGGGTGGGAAGGTAGTCGTTGCTGTCACGTTTCACTTCAAAGGTGACTGTGCTTGAAGCGAGTGATATCTGGAGTCAAGTGAGGGAAAGTACTGGATTCTACGAGGGAGTGCTCATGTAATGACCGCTGTTTCGGGACTGCTGACTCGGTGTTGTGCGTTTGGGCCTGTGGTGCACAGGGGACCCTCCCGTGGAGCCATGCTGACGCCTGGAGTGGTGGAGTGAGGGCAGGGACTACCCTCCTGAGGACTCGGGAGTGAGTCGCCTTCCGGGTTCTTTCCTAGGCACCCTCTGGCCACCTTCTTCCACCTGTTTTTCCGGGTGAGTGCCATCGTCACCTATGTGTGCTGTGACTGGTTCAGCCGGAGCTTCGTGGGCTGCTTTGTCACTGTGCTGCTTCTTCTGTCCTTCGATTTCTGGTCTGTGAAGGTAAGGCCTCTCTTTTCTGTGATGTCACCAGCCCAGAAATAAGTGAGCTTTGTTCCCAGATGGTGACGTTCCCAAGACACGTGGGACTGAGAGGTATTTACGTTTAAATTGCTGATACATATTTAAGAATGCTGAGCTGTGCCACTTAAAATTGGGGGGAGGGGCCAGCAGGTGGCATAGTGGTTACAGTGCTGGACTCCGACATGGTTGACCGTGGTTCAAGTCCCAGACCCAGCAGCTTAAAAATCACATTGGGTGTGTGCGCATGCCCAAAATCCTGAGAAGAGACTGGAGAAAGGATTGCAGCATAGCCATTCCACCTGGGCAGAAGTGCGGGGGAAGACATTTGTCACTTTCCCTTTCTCCGTCTCTCTGGCAAGTGTATGCACCCTATGGCAAAAACCTTAAAAAAAATTAAAGGGGAAAAAATGCATTCTTTAGTGTTTCCTAAATAGCTTCTGGGTATTGACTGTCACGGCTGCACATCTGTCCTATCCAAAGGGGGTAGCCCCCTTGGCTTTGGACTTTTTGTAATGTTTTGTGTGTAACATAACAGCATTTTAAATACATAAAATGTGCAGATATAAACGTTTGTCCAAAATAGTCTGTCTCTCTTTCTTTTGGTAATTCGCCAGGAAGCATGTGCATCTGCTGGTGAGACAGAGGAAGAGAGAGAAGAAAAGTGAGAAAGTCCCTCTAAGGGGGTGAGCCATGCCACAATCCCTTCTCCTCTGCCTCTCCTCTCAGGATTTTGGCCACACACACACACGGCATGTTTTTCAAGTGGCCAGGTCTGGGACTTGAACTGCACAGTTAGCCATGTAGGATCCAGCTGACCCAATCACCATGCCACTGGCTGGCCCAGATCGGTCAGTTTTTAAAGAAAGCTTAAGTAAAAACAAGAAGCCTTGAGTTACCAGCAGCACCGACACAAACACTCCATGATGTGACGCTGGATCCACATGGGAAGGTCCTGGGTTCACGTCCCTGGGCCTCCCTGTGCCACCGTGCCTGAGTATGCACATGATCCTAGCCGGCTGAGAGTGGATCATGGCCTGAGGACCCTGCTGGGGCTCCTACCTCACTGCACCCCTGCATCTATCACAAAAGAATAACTAAATACTTTTTTTAAAAAAAGAAAAACAGTGCTTCAAAACTGCTTTTGAGAACCTGCCCAATGCCCCACCTTTCTTCCTGCTCCCAGTAAGGCTGACAGGAATTGGTGGCTTTGCCCATCAGTACACGGTGATGACTGTCTCCGGAGTGCTTATGGCCCGTGTGTCCATGTTCCTTAGAACGTGACCGGGAGACTCATGGTGGGCCTTCGATGGTGGAACCAGATAGACGAAGATGGGAAGAGTCACTGGATTTTCGAAGCCAGAAAGGTATTTTCCATGATGAGCCAGGCAGATTACAGGTGGGGAAAAGCCTGCGGGAAGGTGACGGAGCCGTTGGTGTGTGCTTGCCTGATGCCTGCCCTACGCCACCCCATGGCTGCTAGGGCTCTGCCGAAACACGCATGGAGGAGAGCAGGCATGACCTAGATGAAGATGGTAGTGCTTTGTGCAACTGCTTTCACTTACTTTGAAAATGGAATCACTCTCTGGTTACAGATCTCTCCCAATAATATGGCTGCCACGGAGGCGGAAGCGCGCATCTTCTGGCTCGGCCTCATCATTTGCCCCCTGATTTGGATTGTGTTCTTCTTCAGCACCTTGTTCTCCCTGAAGCTGAAGTGGCTGGTAAGGCCATGCCGGGACCTCACTTGCTGCTGTTCGGGCACCTCGACAAAACCAACAGTCGTAGCAATGGGGTCCTGTTATATATTACTGACTCATTAATCAAGCGTAGCTTTACCAGCATAATTCACATTCTGTATGTCACCCACTGAAAGCCTACAGTTCAGTGGCTTCCAGTGCAGAATTGTACAGCCATCACAATCAATTTTAGGGTCTCTTTATCACTTTGGGAAGAAACCTTATACTCATTACCGTCTTATGTCCCTGTGCCTCCTGCCCCTGAACCCACTCTTCTGTTTTCTGGTTCCCTGAATTTGCCTACTCTGGACATTTCATATAAATGGAATCATGTCATGTTGTCTTGTGTGACTGGCTTCTTTCACTGAGCATGTTATCAGGGTTCTCCACACTGGAAATGTATCAGTGCTTTCCTTTTCATGGCTGAGTAATATTCTGTTGTATGGATATACCATAGTTTATCCATTCATCAGTTGATGGGCATTTGGTTGTGGCCAACAGCCTTTCAGTTCTATTAACAATCCGGTAAGAAAGTTTTGGGTTTTTTTTAAGTAGTTGACATCGTATCTTGGATCGGAGCCCTTAAGTATGAATAAACTAGCCTCAGAGGTCTGAAGCTTTTTTGAAGGTTACAACATGATCTAGTCCATCCAGTAAGAAAACACAATATCCATACACAGTATGAGCAATACTGTGAGTAAAAGTGCAGGCTCTGGAGTTTGGATCCTGGCTCGACCACACACCAGCTCTGTGACCTTGGGCAGTTTAAACTTGTCTGTGCTCTGATTTCCTCCCTGTAAAACGGGATATTGGTACCAACCTCTTGGGTGGCTGACGACTAAGAAGTGTCCCCTGCGTTTGTAAGTGCTCAGTCGGGGCTGTAATGGCTGGCCGTGGGTCAGAGCCTCCTCTGTGTGGTTTGCGAGCAGCTCTTCAAGAAGTGCTCTGACCAAGTGCCCTTTGCTCTGAGTGCAGGCGCTCGTGATCGCTGGGATTTCTCTCCAAGCTGCAAACCTCTACGGCTACATCCTCTGTAAGATGGGAGGTGAGAGCGACATCAGCAGCGTCACAGCCAGTCTTCTGTCCCGGACGGTGTTCCAGACGGTGAACTGCTGAGGTCTGCCTCCTGGCCCAACACCCTCACCCAGATGCTCAAAGAACAGCCCTGTTGGCAACTGCAGTTTTAATATGATCCACATCAGCCAGGGGCCATTGTTTTTTTTGTTTTTATTACAGGAAATGTATATATGGTAGGCCACATAACCATTCTAAAGTGTACCACTCAGTGACACTGAGCACTTTCACATCAATCGGCAGTCACCACCACCGACCACTGGCACAGCTTTTCCATCTTCTCAAACGGAAACCGTCCCATTAAATGCTAACTGCGTTTCCCGCCCCAGCCCCTGGCAGCCACACTCCGCTTTCTGTCTCTGTGACTCTGACTCCTCTGTGGATCTCCTCCAAGAGCAGCCACACAGATTTGTCCTTTTGTGACTACCATTGTTAGTTTCAAGGGGTTATTAAAAAAACTATAGAATTACAGAAAGAATCAGTTTTGTTTTTGTTCCCACTTAGCAGATAATTCCAGAAGTGAGAGCGAGATGAGCCTTTTAAATTCCGCTGGCCTCATCCTGAAATGCTCTGAGCCACCTTAAACTCGAGCAGCACTCTTCATGCCAAGCCACCAAGCAGCCAGGTGTGCACATTTTCCAAACTCTGGCACTTGCTCTGGCCTGGACTCACTCGCTATGAGGACAGAGCCACAGCTGGCTCCCCGCCTTGCAGGCCTGCCCAGGTGACCTCCTGAAGCCTGGCCTTGCGGGCCTGGAGACTCACCAGTGTGAGGTGAGGAAGGGATCATGACGTATGTCTGAGGCTAAGAGGCCTAGGAGCTTGTGGGAAGCCCAGATCCTGGATCCCCAAGTCTGTGGTCTGGATGGGCTTCCCCAGTTCTAGCCAGCCAGAAGCAAGGCTGTGGCCTGGGCCTGCCCCAGGGCCCTGTGGCCTCCTTATCATTGAACACATGTAAGTGCACGTATGACCCTACATGCAGGCAGGAAGAGGGCAGGGGGCTGAGAGAATGGGAGGGAAAGAACAAGGGATTTGCCCACCCTTCTATCTTCAGGCCCCAGACTGGGAGGGGAAACAGGAATTTACTCTTCCCTCAGCCGGTCTCAGTTCCTGTGTGTCTCAGAGAGCACCTGATGGCAATGGGGCTGGTTTGAGAATAGACATCTGTCCTTTTTTTTTTTTTTTTTTTTTTTAGAGGTTTTTCTTTTAGGGGCGGTT